TATAAGTTTTTAAATGTGCTTGTAATCCATTATAAATGCCCTTCATGTTTGAAGCACCATCAAATGAGCAAGCCACAATATCATTTAACGGAAGTCCTACCCTTTTTAATTCTTTTTTTAACAATTCAAAAAGAGCTAAACCACTGGAATCATGACATACAATTAAACTAAATAATCTTTCACTAACTTTTCCTCCATAAACATACCTCACACAAATAGCAAGTTGATCCATCACACTAACATCCTGTGTTGAATCAATCATTATGCTGAACTTTTGACATTCTTTGATTTCCTTCACAATAATGTTTTGAATTTCTTGTCTTATAGGTACTAGTATGTTATCATTAATGAAATGTTTGGATAAAAATGTAACCAACGATCCACGACCCTTCTTAGATTTATTTTTTTCACTGAGTTGTATAGATGTATTTAAATGTTGTTGGAGAACGTTATCATATTTTGAGATTAGCATCACAAGTTCCAAAAAATTTCCATGGTTTCGTTTATCATTATTTAGTGAATAAGCTCCTTCAAATTTTCCTCTATAAGGAATACCTTGTCGGCCAATGAATATAATAATATCAATTAACCTTTCTAAGACTTTTCTTCGATTTTCAACCTCCAATGCTCGTTTTGTCATGACATCTCGGTTGATAACATTTTCAATATCATTATTAAGTTTGAAACGGATAGCTGTCGAAATTGATTCCTCATGAGTTTTAGAATTTTCATGTCTTTCTATATCCTGGTATAAGCTTTTGTTTACTTTAATATTAGCTTCATATCCAATGATAAACTTTGATTCCATTGCACCAAGTATTTTTAGACTTCCATAAGCCATACAAGCAGAACAGTATAAGCAGCAAGTCTCAGTAGAGTATGATATCCATTTTCTTTGAATAGTTTCATTATTAGGTAATATTTTGAAATATATTCTTTTAAAATCAAGTTTTCCTTTACCTGACTGAATATACGGTTGAATGGGATGCTTATCAAAGTACTGATTTTTGACTACTACACTATCAGTTCTAGATGGGCGAATAAAATGTGAAATAGCTGAAGGTTGAGTAAAATTGTCACAATCGGTCATCATATTTTTTTCATTTTCAAAACAGTTATCGTCTTGCTCTATTTCACTTTCAAAATGTATTCCTACAGAATTTTGACAATCAGTTGTAATGAAATTACTTTTTCCTATAAATATAATTAAAATTGTCAATACTAAGTAAAAAAGTAGCTTACTAAAAAAAAAAAATAATAATAATATATATTATATATATTGTATAACTAGTATAAACTATACAACTTGGTTTAAAAAATGATCCAAAAATATATTAACTGTGAGAGTGTATTTTAGACAAAAAATAATTATTTTGGCATAAAATAAGATTAATTTTTATATAAAAAGAGCATTTATTTAATTCTCTATAAAAATTGAATTTATTCAACACTTTTTTCAACAACTAGATAAAAATTAAATCAATAGGTATATTTGTTTTAATATAAGCAATAATAAATAAGGTTAAGTAAGTTGAGTTATAATTAATAGTTAGTAGTTACATAATATATTTATATAATATGTATCACCACTTACCAGTATTATTAGTTATGTTTCTTTCTGTATTTGCTATATTACTTTCAGTTGTACTTAAAACTATATCACAACCTGTGCTAGAATTATCTGAAAAAGACAATTTTGATTATTTATTGAATAAATTAACATTCACATTGCATAGCTTTTAATTTTTACTATTATTACCATTGGCATGTATCAAATCATTTTCAAAATCTGATGAATTATTTTCAGTTATATTTAAAACTGGATCACTTGTAACACTAGAATTACCTGAAATTACTGAAATTAGCAGAAGCCGTGTATACCATGTGAGATAAAACATAATTTTGAATTTTATTCTTACCTTGTCTAATAGTTGGGAAGAAGCAAATTTTTTTTTTGACTTTTGTCGTTTCCACAAGCAATTAAGGCTTCCTTTTGTTTCGCTTTTCTTTTGGCGTGTCCACTTTGAAACCTCTGTTTATTCATTTTTGTTAATTTTAATAAAGATACACAAAACACAAAACGAAACTGGTCACTAATACCGGAACACGCGTTACACACTCGAATGCCCGTGCCCCGTATGTATACAAATATTAATTTAACTATTATAGAAGTGATAAAAATCCAACTGGTATAAAAAGAAATATAAATATATTTATACATCGTATTATCGTTATCTTATATTGCACGAGCGTTAACATATTATGAAAAACATGTAGTATCCAAAAATAGAACAAAAATAATTTACGAAAAATAATAAATACTCGTATTTTTAAACTTAAACCATTATGATGCGATAAGAGAATTTAATGTTGCATGACAACAAAACACCTAGAGAATACTTGTATTTTAAAAACAAAATTATTCCAATAAACCGAAAGTATTCAAATATTCAATGTTAATAAGTTTTTATCCTTTAAACTCTTTTTGCTCATTAATTGTATATATTTGTGCGAGACCCAATTACCAAAATTTAATCGCACATGTATGTAATGACCTAAAGAGCCTTTAACAATACTTAGCACCCTGGGCTATTAAGTCCCCGTCCATCACTATTTGAGGTGCCTATACTAGAATAAAAAAAAAAAAAACGGTGAGGGCCTCGGCAGCGTTCGCTGCCTCGCTGCCCTGGCCAGGCCGACACTGCCTGTAAATGAGGATGGCAAAACAACTAATTGTCCTATATCTTTAGGATCAATTTCATTATTGATAGAGTCTTGTAAATGTATATAATTGTCTACACGTAGTTTACATTGATTATAGCGAATAAAATTTAGACGTTCTGTCTCAATTTTCGCGTACATGTCTACTAAATACATGTTAAATAACTGACGAAAATAATGTAAATAGTTGCTATTATTTTTCCGTATCATGATTCTATACGAATAAAAGCTAGATGCTGACATATTTTTTTTATCTGCTTGATTTTTCGTGGGATCAAATTTCGGAATAGCTATGTTGTATCCGTCCTCACCACGACAGAACATGAGAGGATATTGTAGGGCATCATATGATCTATGTAATTCATTAATACGTTTCAACGTATTATTTCGACCATTAAGAACTATATCACGCTTTTCGAATTGTTGACCGTCTATCACAGCGTTTCCCAAACTTTTTCTCTGCCGGACCCCTTAGAGAAAATAAAAAAGATCGCGGACCCCTAAATAAAAATTTAAATTAAAGCAATAATAAATAATAATACTAAATTGTTTGCTTTATTTTTAAAATTAAATACACATATGTTTATAATGAAAAATTGAATTAATAAAAAAAAATGGATAAATAGATATATTATTTTTTTTTTTTTTTTATATTATCTCATTAATCTCATATATTCTCTTTAAAACTCAATAATTCTCTTTATAAATCTCATTCAATCTCATATATTCTTAATAACTCATTAACTCAATAATTCTCATATACTTATTAATTCTCAATTATTTTCAACAACAATTTTTTTTTTTATAAATTCTCAATAATTCTCTTCACAAAATTACAATGGATTAGCTACTTCCAAGGGAGATGGGTTTATTTCGCGATATATTAAAATATTTAATTTAATTATTTTTGTTTTTTTTTTTTTTTTTTTTTTAAACGAAAAAAAAATTATATTTATATTTATATATTTTTTTTTATTATTATTTCTTACACGCTCTTAACATATTACCCCGTTAAATGTCACTTATTAATTAATTACAATTTTTGTATGCTTACAATAAAACGGAGTTGGACGATTCCTTTGACATCTTGTTGATTGAACTACTGACACACGAGGTTCTTTCTCTTCTGGAGTTGCCGAAGATGAAATTGACACTTCCTTCTTCGACGATGGTCAAAATGAATTGATTACCTCCTCGAATTGAATTTCGTTGGAAATTCTCTTCTTAAAAAGAACTACCGACTGCGCCAATTTGTTGCGTGCCGTCGCTCAATCGTATATGATGGTTAAGTTTTTAAAGGATAGACTTCAATAAAACACTCAATTGAAATTTAAACTGTTTATTTAATAATTTTTCTAAGTACAAAACATTAATTTACGAAATAATGTGGCGTGAAGGTGCTTGCGACTGTACATGTAAACCACATCTGAATATTGGTCTATTCCCAACCCCCTTATATACTTAGGTCCCGTGGAGATCAACCGTGCAACGCTGTGCGAAAGTTGTTTTTGCCGGCTTCTTCTCGTCTTCGCTTAACTTGGGGTTCACTGTCGTAGTGGGTGTTGCCGCTGCCACTGCTGTTGGTTTGTGTTCCACCACTGAGTGGGCTGGAGCTGGACTCGTAATGCTCTCTATAGCAGCCTTCGCAACTGCTGTTCCACCCGCTACTGCCGCCGCGGTGGGACCACCGGTTAACAAGCCTCCCAGTGCCGCCAGCGCCGGGTAGACTAAGAAGTTTTTTGCCGCTGTGATTACTGACTTCTGATCTATTGGGTCCGGCCATATCAAATCTGTAAATCGGGCATCACGAATGGACTCGTTCGTGTGTGTGTAATTAGAGCCGATGACGTACGCATCAATTTTGGGCGCGTACGACAAGCCGTTATCAACTAGGGATATCACGATTTCGTTTGATTCCAAAAACCTCCCTTCACCGATGTTTCTGTTGCCAGCAGAGATGTTGGAAATATAACTCCACTGATCGAGCCACGATAGAAGGTGTTGGATGGCAGCATCCGGTTCACGTATAGAAACCACAGGGAAGTATCTGTCTGCATCGATGGTCGCAGACATGAGGGACCGATACTGTAAAGTTTTTTCACCATACATAATGCACATATGGTTGCTGTTGTTATGTCGGAGGTAGGTCGATTCTTTCGGCGCTTCGCCTGCTCGATACTTTATTTTGTTCGACCACTGCTGCACATAATGATGAGGCAGTGGCGAATAGGATAACCAATTGATATCAGTAAAGGGGTCTATTCCGAAATATTCCATAATTTGGTCCTCGTCTCAAGCTTGCCATGATTGTACGAGTGCTTGCACCGAAGTGTACCTTCCAATATCGTTGGTTGCCAAAGATATGGCGATCTGCTGGGTTTCCGTAGAGTACACATCATCACGAGTGGTATTAAACCCTGACCACATCGAGAGGTTTAGGTTGGTCTGGGAGAAAATCAGTGATGCTTGAGCTGCCGACGCAGTGGCGAGCATGTGTACAAAAGACCCAAATCCCTGGGCGCTCTTGAATGTCAGACCCATTTCGTGCGTCAATATTAGTCCGATCCCTGTCGAAACGCGGTTCAATGATTGGATAGTGGGTATTGTATAATTGGAGGTCATGGACGTCGGTACCTCTGTTGCCCACCCACGAAATTGACCCGCATTACCGATGACTGAATTGTAGTTTTCGGTTAATACATACCCAGTGCTGGGCAGGTGCCAAGTTGTTAAGGCACTAAAGTTGTATCCAACCATTCTTCGCCGGGCTTGAACGTCGTATTCTGGATCGCATGACCAGTGGTCTAGCATACCGCGAGATCCGTGTGCAACATGATCGTTGGGGAAGAGACTCCATCCACCATGTAGGGGCACTTGCCAGTTGTAGGACGGGTCGCCGTCGTTGGTTGGAACTCCGAGTCCTAGGTACATCGCGCTGTAGAGTTCAGCTATCACCGACAGGGCCACGTTTGACGAGTTCTCAGCGCATAGTGTAGTTGTAATCTGGTTCAATGCCATGACACAGTCGTGTTCCATACCCTCGGTGTTGTCGTTGTGGAACCAGTCTTCCCAGATGTCAGAAAAATCTGCTTCGCGTATGTTAGCACGGTTGAGGAAGACGGGGACATTGGTACCCCTCACACTTATATTCATGGGACACGACTGAGACGTCGCCTCTATCAATACCAGGATTACTCGTTTCGGCCCGTCTAGATAAATACTGTTTGCCGCTGGCATTAGCCTCAGGACTGATTTTCGGGTGGATGTGTTGTCGCTGCTTATATATCTGCCTCGGAACACGTGGTTCACTTTCCCTGTAAATAGACTTGATGTGGTAAAAGCTGAAATATATGGTACTATCGAACTGTCGCCAACCTGGTTCATCTTTATGGGAATGGCCGTCCACTCGTTGTCTATTTCAAGGGGCCGGAATTCAGGATCTGCATTTTCGTTGTTACCGTCAATGATGGCAAAGTTGCTCTTACCAAAACAGTGGCTGATGAATATGTCAAGGGGCATCGCTGTGATCTTTACGCTTGGGTATGGGGCTGCAGCAGGTGCAATTTCGAAGCCCAGATACTCGTCAAGACGCCAGCCTCTTATTATCCGGGACATAATTATTTAATTCATGTATGTCCGCAACAGTCCGCAACACGTTCAATAAAATTAGTTCCTAGTATCATAGATTAATTAATATTCGTATTTATATATCATATATATATATATATATATATATATAACCTATGCTAATATCATTGATTAAATATTACATAGGTAGTCTGAGTCGATGGAAAATTTGGAAATTGAAATATTAGTAACTTTAGAATCTAAATAGATAGCATTTACAGTAATTTTCCACTAAATAATTATTATAGAAATCATAGAGCAATAAAAAGATTTATTGCGGGTTGGAGTGCCTTGATAAAAAGATATGCCCATATGAACTGATCATTCCATTATTAATAGGGTAATAAATGAATAGTTCATACTTAAAATATTATTGTTTTTTTATTACCTTCTAAATGATATTTGATTTTGATCCAATTTATAAATTAATTTTCAATATTTTCTTTTGATTAATTACTTTTCATGATAAACAGTATACTATTATTTATTTCAATTTGTACAAAAAAATCTCATAATTTAATTTTTACTAGTAAGAATGAATACTTATAAAATACTATTAGGTAACTAGTAATACTACTATTATTATTGCTAGTAATATAATTAACACTTAAAACAATTGTTATAAGTTAGAAAACCTTTTTTTCTTTTAATAAAATTGTTATATAATAAATAATGTTTATTTATTAACATTATCATATCAAAAAATCCTAGTTAATGGTAATACAATATGATATCATGATACTATTATGGAACTGGTTGATTTTTAACTGTTGTATTCTTTTTAGCACAATTAATTAAGTTAGTTTTATAAAAAGAAATTCAAACGTGAATACTGGAAATGAGTAAATATATATATATTATGAATTTTAAACAGTAAGATTTTGACAGAGTTCTTGACAGATTAATTGATCCCATACTCGTGAGTTCCAATCAAAGAGTATCTTATCCCTTTGAGTTATATTTTAATTTTTTTTTTTTTAAATCAATTTATTATTATTAAAATATTAAAGTACATTCATATTACAAAAAAAATTTAAAAAAATTCATTATTGTTATAGTTTTTAGAAAAAGTGGTGGTTGTATATTTATTTTCTTTGGAAATGTCATTTTTTTGAACACATTACTTCCCTTGTATTCGCACTTGATACTTACAACATATGAAATAATGTAGATTAAGGATTAATACTTGAATAGCATACTATACAGACACTAATGATAACTTCTCATATACGAGAAAAGTAAACTTATTATTTATGATAGTATATCTAACCGATGACAGACTGAAGCCACGATTATAAAAATATGTGTTGCGTTCTTCTATGAAGATATACCTGCATCAATTATGCAGATACCAAATAATTAGTAGTTATTATCTTTCTGGAGATTTAGTTTTTTCTACTTAGGTGTAACAATAAATTA